TATTATTTTATATATAAATGTTTCTGTTAAATTATTATTTTATATATGAATGTTTCTGATAAATTATTATTTTATATATAAATGTTTCTGTTAAATTATTATTTTTTATATGAATGTTTCTGTTAAATTATTATTTTATATATAAATGTTTCTGTTAAATTATTATTTTATATATAAATGTTTCTGTTAAATTATTATTTTATATATAAATGTCTCTGTTAAATTATTATTTTATATGTGAATGTTTCTGATAAATTATTATTTTATATGTGAATGTTTCTGTAAAATTATTATTTTATGTATAAATGTTTCTGTTAAATTATTATTTTTTATATGAATGTTTCTGTAAAATTATTATTTTATATATAAATGTTTCTGTTAAATTATTATTTTTATATGAATGTTTCTGTTAAATTATTATTTTTTATATGAATGTTTCTGTTAAATTATTATTTTTTATATGAATGTTTCTGTTCAGGGCAGCACGGTGGCACAACTGGTAGAGCTGCTGCCTCTCAGCGAGCAGGTCCCTGGTTCAAACCCCGGTCCAGGGGCCTTTCTGGGTGGAGTTTGCATGTTCTCTCCGTGCATGTGTGGGTTTTCTCCGGTACTCCAGTTTCCTCCCACAGACCAAAAACATGCATGTTAGACTGATTGGTAACTCTAAATTGTCCCTAGGTGTGAGTGAGAGAGTGAATGGTTGTTTGTCTCGTTTGTCTCTATGTGTCCCTGTGATGGACTTGCGACCCGTCCAGGGTGTCCCCCGCCCCTCGCACAGTGATTGCTGGACATGGGCACCAGCGACCCCCGTGACCCAAAATGGAATAAGCGGGTAAAGATAATGGATGGATGTTTCTGTTCAGTGCTCTGAGACGACTTCTATTGTGACGAAGTTTATCCTAAAGACTTCATCAGTCAGTCCTGGATAGAGTTGGTTTGAGAGAGAAACAAAGGAGGCCATCTTTGTGAAGAGAAACAGGGTGGAGGCCTCCATGTCCAACTGTCCCCCTCTTACAATATTATTGCTATTATCACTCAGCCCTCTGTGAATAGCAAGCAGACATCAGTGTGCTAGATCAACTGTTGGGCTGATGGTCCTCCTTTATCGTGCGAGCAGCTCGTTGTAGGTGTCAAGTTGATCCACTATGAGAAGGTGATATTTATAAGACTGAGTTTGTTGCAGCTCCTCAGACTGAAGAAGTCTTTTGGATAAAACTTGAAACGTTTCAACAAGAAGAATTCATCCAGAGGACCTGACTCAAACTTGTTCGAGCAGCTGGGACCATTAAACACGCTAACATGGTCTTACCCAGTGTTTGGCATGAATCACTTAAACATTCAGAAATTATAGTACATGTACTATAACGACTGTACGTCTGGTAACGCTGCCTCCGACAAACATCGGGACTTCCAACTTCCTGTTTCCTGTTTCCAACAAAACAATTTGTTCTTGTTGTTCCGGTTGTTCTGAACCCTGGAGTAAATTACAGTCAGTGATGATGACGGTGTGAACTTCACCTGTCAGGCTATAAAATACTACATGGACTATTAAAGAAGTATTATAACATGTAGCTGCTTTTTGGCTTTTGTTATGTTTTTCTTGTCTGCATATTATAAAACTGTTTCAAGTCAAATTACTGAATGAACTGCTTCACTGAGTCAACGAGTCCGTGTACTTTCAGTCACAGTTTAAGGTTGTGCTTGTTGCGTGAACGTTCATGAAACATTCACTCTATGATCCGTTTTTCTTCTGTATGTTTTTCATCATCTTTCTCATCCCGCAGTTTTCACCTATTTCAATAAATCATAACTCAAAACGTTCAGCTACTTTCAGCTACTTTCAGCTGTTTTTCAGCTGCTTTGTGATCATTTATGGTTCTTTCTGCTAACTACAACATTTTTGTGCTACTTCAAACTTCTTTCTGATAACTTCAGCTTATTATGCTCCTT